CATCAGATCAAATAACACAGATCATTGCTCATCTATCCTGTGGCTTTTTCAGAACGCTCTTTTTTTGTAGCTGTTTACTCAGAGTAGCAATACGCTTTTTAGTGTAATATGATTAGATACCATCCAGATTATGACTGGATATAATATGATTGGACACTCTCACTAATCAACTGGAAAAATTCGGCCAAAACTGCCAAAAAATTGCTCTAGTTTCAGTGGGTTATCAATGATGTGACTGTGCACTGCGTGTTTCACCGAAAACTGTTTAGTGGAATGAGCCGTTAACAGAAATTACTCGAAAGAGTATGAAATCATAATTTCTCGTATATTGAGGAATATCAAGAAAAGTCGCTACTTCCAGCAGCGATGACCCTTTTTAAGACTACATCTGCTGATATTTGTGTACTGCAAAATTTTGCATTCAAAAACCTATGTGCCTCTGTATTGCATTCATCTAGTGGATCTAGAGTAGCAATACGCTTTTTAGTCGAATATGATTCGATGTCATCCAGACCATGACTGGATAGAATATAATTGGACACACACTAATGAATTGGAACAATTCAACCAAAATTGCCTAGAAATTGTTCTAGTTTCGTTTGCTCACTAGCGCTTTGCAATCATTTGCAATCAAACCAGAAAAACATTACTACCCATAATCATTACAAATCCAAGCAAAAAACAACGCTTATGCTCAAGTTCTCATCATTGAAACATGAAGATTAAACACGTAAAATCTCACAAATCATCAAGTCAACTTCCTACTCCTATTAATAACTGTTGCCACAGGTCAGTCACATGAACGAAAATTAACACAAATCAACAAAAGCACTAACTTCTCCGATTGTGAACCACCACAAATGAGCCAATGTTTGTTGACGAATCGTAACGATGCCAATACACTGTTTCTCATGATCGCATTCCACTTCATGTATTTCTTAATATTGCTCAGTTGTGCATTCGGATAATCCACTTGAAACCGTACCACTCGAACCGCTGGTATGATCTCTTGATCAGCCGATGCGTATTGACCAGCAAAACCGAATATCAATATTAAAGCAGGCCATTTGAAATAGTACATCATTGTCGTCGAAATCCAAGCTAAGCCGTTGTATTTGATATCCTACTGCAATGAGATCTTTACATCCGGTTTTATTTTATATCTGGATAAAATTACAACGATTATATGCGATAAAAATTCAGTCATAATAATACAAACACGAATAGACGGCATATCCTGTTCTAAGAAGAATTTATCTGCAGTTTCCATCATGTTGAAAAAGTTCGTCGTAAATCTCTAAAGTCTGTCACACTCCCTCAAAGGCTCAAACCAACCTTGTATGGGTATGTTGTCCAGAAATTCAAATCAAAATTTATGTCAGTGTTTTAAACGGCAGTTTTTGCATGTCTAAACGCTTGCCAAGTAGGGAATTACAATCATACCCCTAGCGATTTAGGTGATCCAAAGAGCGAAAAACTGCAGAAATAAAAAATGAAAAAATCAGAAAGAGAGCAAGCTCAGAGTCGTAGCCTTCATCTACGACACAATCAGCACATCCGAAGATGTGATAGCCACATCAGTTCACATCGACCATCATTTGATCATAATCATTATAATGATCACCTATTCGAAACCATCTGTCTATGAATGCTCCCAACTGATATCTCAACGAAATCGTCGCTGCATCAAATCCCAAGTCCTCGCCCACTTCATGCACCGTACCATGCGATTGTACACGTTCAGTGCTGATGGATCCAAGACAATCATGACCCATTTGAGTGAATGCACGATGGGGAGAGGGAGAGTGGAGTGGGAGGGGGCTGTGATGAGCAGGCTCCTTGAAACATCCTTTGCCGAAAGCAATTTCTTGACAATGGTGTCGAACACGACGACAGGTTTATCAATGTTGTCGTTTTCATTTCCTTTCAACAACCACCCAAAAAACACATCCTCTCCATTCTCATCATTATCAAATCGGTATCATCAACGTCATCTCGTACAATTGGTCAGTAATCGTTCCGGTTAAAATCAACTCTTCAAAACTTGGTTCATCTTCTTTGCAATAATGCCTTTTCCAAGCAAACAATCACGAATGAACGATTGTTCAATAGATCGGCTATTGTGTTGAGTGTGTGCATGCATGATAAACCAGTGGAACAAGATTGCTCTGATCAAATCAAGCATTGAGCAAATCATGTTTTAATCAGTGCTCAATTTGATTTCACCGCAAAGTTGCTGATACAAACTTGCTTCGTGTTTCGCCGAACAGTCAAACATTACACACATCGCCGCCCATTGTTAAGATTTATCTTTATTCATCATTTGAAGTGTTCCGGCTCAGCGCTATTCAACGTAACAAGAATAAATTGCAGTCTGTTGAATGACAGTTTGCAGATGAACGAATTNAATTTTCAGTTGGTTTCACTCGTTTAAGAATTCATAATTTTCAAAAATGGGGCAGTTTACATAGTGGTCAGATTAGAAATCTCGATCGCATTGTGTTTTAGTGAATAGAATTGCATTGTTTTCTTTTGGTTAAGGCGCATCAATCACTATTCTGATGTAAAATGTTAAATGGTGCTAAACTATTGGAAATGTGAACGCTGAAGATGCGATCAAGTAATGAATCATAATCGACGGAAGATACACGTTAATGAGATTTGAAATGACAGCTTGTTTGGAATGTACTCCTCTTCATTGGAGGGTTGCTGATAGGACGCTCGATAAGGTTTGAAAATTATTCGTGTGAATTGAGAAACGTTTTATCAATGTATGCCAACTGCATTAATGACCAATCCAAAACGTATCATCCACATAATTTCTATGAAGATATTCAATTCCAACAAAACATCCCATTACCGTGAAATATCAGATGATTCAACAGATGAGAGCAATGATAAACCAAATATTCAACATAACCTTAATTTGTTCGTGACTGCGTTCATTTCAAATTGTTTGTGAGTGTTCGTGTTAGATAAGCATAAATTAAATGTTATGTAATGTGTGCGAATAGGGCGCATGAATATAAATTTAATTTGCATACCCATGGAACCTTCGTTTCCATAGCAAGCAAGATGCGCTTTTCGTGAGGCATTTGATCTGCGTGATTCTGTTGGAGATCACAGCTTATCGCTGGCAAGAACTCAATTGAATTGCTCAGTTGCCGTTTCGTAAGAAAATTCGATTTGTTCAAGTTGTTTTCAAGAAACACCAACGAACAACGTGAAATTGTTTATGTTTTTGATGACATTTTGAGGAACCCTATGCAACTGAATGTTAAACAAGCATGGTTAGTGCTTTCAAAAGCACCACCAGAAAATCAACGCTCTATCAATGATTGAATAAATTGCATCATACATTCGGCAATCACGGAACAATCAACGAATCCATCCACACCTGATTACATAACACAACGAGAGTCCAGGCTCATTTCATTGTCTGATTTTGTTCGTTGCTTGTTTACGCTTTCAAAATCATTTTCAGTGGCGATGCTCACAAAGTTATCGTACCCGCCTCATATTAAACGTTGTAAGAAGTCGAATAAATCTTTGTGCAGTCCTTTGAAGTGGAATTTGTTGCTTCCAATGCGATCATCACTGATTTATTTCGATCTTGATTCTCGAAC